GGATGGCTTCAAACCACCAACTTTTGGTTAGCAGCTGAGCTCTTCACCTTCTGCTTTACATGGGCTCCTTCATGACGTAGATTAGGAGCTGTTAGACAGGCCAGACGAGCAGGCTCAGGCAACTCCCAGCTCTCTTCCTCCCTGAAACCTTCTGTGTTTTCTGTGCTAAGGAAAGCTACTGCCCTTGCAAAAACAAGTGGGCGAGTCAGGAAGCTGTGGCCATGAGTCTCCCTCTTGCTTGTGACCCACACTACTATAGTGAGCCCTTCTGGCCACACATCTCTTTTCCCCTTTAGGAAATGTATTCACTTTACGATCAGTGACTTTTAATAAGTGAACCAAGCGTTCACCATGCCTTTACATTTATAGAAACCAAAATCATTTGTAACAAAATCATGAATGATTATTTTTCTCATATTTAAAACGTTATATGGCATTTAAATTACTTGTTCAAAAATCACTCAGCTCATTCAAAGAGCCAAATACTATACTTTAGTGAAAATAAATAATATAAAAAAGCATGTTCTGCTCATGCCAGAACCAGGGACCAAGATTGCTAAATGGACATGACTCTGGCTCTGCAAGCCAGCTGTCAAGCAAGGCAGGAGAGGTGGTCAGCTCCTATTAAAAAACAAAACAAAACAAACCACTTATCATCTCCCTACCAGTGCTACAAAGCATCACAGCAGATGGTACTGTCTAACTCTTCATTGAAGTCCCATTATTTTTTTCTTGATTTGTATTTTTTATTTTTCTGTGAGAGGATGGCAGCCTGGAGTTCTTATTCTTCCATCTTTGTTTTGGTATCTCTATGATTCTAATTTTACCTATTTACTTATTTATTTTTCAGTTCCTGACTTCTCTGTCTCTGTTTCCTAAATTGGTTCATTAAACTCTTTGCTGTCAAATTGATTCTGACTCACAGCTACTGCACAGCACAGAGTAGAACTGCCCCATTGGCTTTTTAAGACTCTATACCCTACACAGAAGCAGACTGCCTCATCTTTCTCCCATGCAGTGTGCTGGTGGTTTGAAACAATAGACTTTTGGTGAGCAGATCAAAGCTTAACTAACGTGCCACCAGGGCTCCTTGATGGGTAATTAGGAAGACAGGAATTTTCCAGACTAAGACACAGAATTCCACCACTCATCTTTCGGTTTGTCACAGTGCAGTGGCTTGTGTGAGGCTGTGACACTGGAAGATATGCCACTGATATTTCAATACCAGCAGGGTCACCCATTGTGGACAGGTTTCAGCGGAGCTTCCAGGCTAAGACAGACTAGGAAGAGGGATGAAAAAATTGGCCACTGAAAACCTTATGAATAGCTGTGAAACATAGCAAAGATTTTGAGAATGGTGCAAGCCCAGACAGTATTTCATTTTGTTGTACATATAGTTACTATGAGTTGGAGCTGAAGCCATGGTACCTAACAACAACAAGACACAGAATTATTTTGCTTAGCATCATAAGCAAACAATATGTCAAAGAAACAAAACATATAAGATTCAATCACAATATAAGGGGGAGGGGGTATATAAAATTTTATTTCATGAAATGTGGGCCATGAAGTACTTTTGGTCTCCATCTTTACCACAAATCATCCTCACCCCAGATGCTTGCCATGGAGACAATGTTTAAAGGCCATTAATATTTTTGCTTATTCCTCCCATCCAATCTCAAAAAAAAAAAAAAAAAAAGTTATCTTTACTAAGCTTTCTTGTGAGATTTTAGCTATAACAGCACTTGTTAATTTTTTCTCTTATTCAAACAACTGTGACTTTGGGTTTAAATTATACAAATTTCATACAAATAAAAATTCTATTCTTTCAACAGTTCCAGCATATTATTTTCTAGACAGTGATCACTTAACTAAGCAATTTGAGGCTGCACTGTTTTCCAGGAGCTGTTATTCAACCTAACCTGCATCAGGCTGAGACTGGAAGAATCATCTAGTTGTTTCCTGTTTCAGCAAAGGTGCTGTGGTGGGCAGTGTCACTGAGCACCTAACATCCCTTTAAATGAAGACCCCATAAGATGTCAGTAATAGGGACAGGCTACCCTGAGACATGAAAACCCACTTCTTGTCTTCTCACATATGGAGTCTTGTAACTGTAGCCTAAAGCCTGAGGCTTCCCAACCCTCAGACTAAGGGAAAGTCATAGTTTTTTATATAAAAACAAGAAACAGGAGACTCTGACAGAACCTGGCTCTACATCATGAGAAAGACTAGGGATGGAAAGAGAAAGAGACCTGGAGATAAGTATGATAAACACAAGATTGTAATAGTTGTTTGCCAAGAATTTCATATTCACTCTCTGAGTTATAAAATTCTTATCCCTTTCCCTCTCACCTTAGACTGGGCAATGAGGTCTCTGTCTGTAAGGGACAGGTTCTTCCTCCCTGTCAAGCTCTTCCCTTTGAATGCTCTTTTGGTGTTCAATTCACTGGGACCCAGAAAAAAAAATGTCTAACACCTGTGTGTAACACTTTCAGACAGTTCACTTGGTAATGGCAGATATTACATGGTCTTAACAATCTCAAATCCATCCCCTTGTTTGGGACATTCTGTGGATCAGCACAGTGGGGAAGGGAGCTGTTTTTCCAGATTACCTAGGTGGGAACCAAACCTGAAGGTCATTACCTTCCCAAGATTGACCCTGGTCATCCATCTCTACCTCTTCAGGCTCTCTGATGCTTTCTTAGAGTTACAGGGCCATGTGCAGTATGTCTTGCCCAGGGATCCAGCATTTCACATTTACTAGTTCCCACTAATCAGAGCAACAAAACTTGTTCTCTTTTCCTCCAGTCACAGGCACATTTTATAGTGCTTGGCTCACAGGTGAGGCTCAGCCTCCCCTTGGCTCTTTCCACACAGCTGCACCCACCAGGGGATTTGCATATTGTTCCCTAGGGAGGACCTTCTCTTGCAAGTCTGAGATAAAAGGTCAGCTCTAATCAACATTTATTATCAGGACTCATCAGTTCAACTTGTCAAAATGGGGTTCCCTGCTCAACTTCTGGGGCTGTTAATTCTCTGGATCCCTGGTGAGGACAGAGGGGAGATGAGAAGGAGAAGGGGTGGGGAAGGTCACCGTGAGAGGTACCACTGGTTTCCTTGTGTATTCTGTCATCTTGTTGGATGGCACATTTTGTCCTTTTAGGAAGGGACATACAACCTATTTATAAAAGTGAGGAAGAAACTAGAAGGAGCCAGGATCTTTTCTCTGGTGAAAACAGTGGCCACAAAGTAGGGGATTTGTGTAGGTAAACTGGATATTTTGGAGCACAAAGAATTAAAATCACCCAAAAGAAATAGCAAAAATGAAACATTTGTTGTTGTTGTTATGTGCTGTCGAGTCAGACCCAACTCATAGCGACCCCTCCTTGGGTTTCCAAGGTAGTATCACTATGGAAGTAGATTGCCCTATCTTCCTTCTGAGGAGTGGCTGGTGGGTTTGAACAATAATAGCAAAAGAAATTCATAAAAATAGCTCATAATGTGTGGACATAACCTTGTGCTTCTCCTTCTTTATTTTAGCATCCAGTGGGGATATCGTGATGACACAGACTCCACTCACCCTGCCCATCAGGCTTGGAGAGCCGGCCACCATCTCCTGCAAGTCAAGTCAGAGCCTCGTACATACTGATGGAAAAACCTATTTGAACTGGTACCAGCAGAAACCCGGCCAAGCTCCACGGCTCCTGATCTATAAGATCTCTAACCGGTTCACTGGGGTCCCAGAGAGGTTCAGTGGCAGTGGGTCAGTTACAGATTTCAGTCTTAAAATCAGTAGGGTGGAGGCTGAGGATATTGCAGTTTATTACTGCATGCAAAATTTATACTATCCTCCACAGTGGTGCATCCTTTCACAAAAACCTGTGCTTGCCACCGCCCAGCTGCCCAAATGTGTGGCTTGTCTGAAAGCAAGCAAAGTGCATTCTCTGAGTCTGCTGAAGAGGAAGATGTGGGAGAGCTCAGGGGAATGGGTTGTGACTGAGGGAGGAAAAAGGAGGTTTAAATGAGCAGCTGCCCAGAGTCTGTGCTTATTGGGGCACCGCATCTAATATGTGACAAAAAATTAATTGATTCAAATAAATTTGGATGAGGCTATGATAATGGATGAAACAACAAATATAAGAAAACAGGACTACCAACACATATACAAGAAAAAAGTCCTAATGCTTTTTATACAATTTGTGGTTGCCAATCTATAAGCGAGATCACTGGAGATGCTATGATTTGCTTTATTCAAGCTCTTTCCTTCTTTGCTGTTGTTGTTATTAGGAGCCATTGAGTCAATTCCAACTCAAAGTGACCCTATGTACAATAGAATGAAACACCGCCCAGTCCTGCACCTTTGTTACAATCTTTGGTATTATTGAGCCATCACTGCAGCCACTGTGTCAATCCATATCATTGAGGTTCTTCTTTTTCTCTGCTCCTCCACTTTACCAAGCATGATAACCTTCTCCAGGAACTGGTCCCTTCTGACAACATGACCAAAGTAGGTAAGAGAAAGTCTGGGCATTTTCCCTAAGCATTCCAGCTGCACTTCTTCCAGATCAGAAGTGTCCTGTCCAAAATGTTCTTTGGCTGAATATTATTATCATGGGTAGACCTTGTTTTATTGTGCTTCACTTTGTTGTGCTTCATAGATATTATGTTTTATACAAATTAAAGTTTTGTGGCAACTCTACATTGAGCAGGTCTGTTTTTGCCTTTTCCAACACTATGTGCTCACTTCATGCTTCTGTGTTCCCTTTTGGTAATTCTTGCAACATTTCAAACTTTTTCACAATGTTATTAAAACTATTAACAGACTATAGTATAGCATAAACTTACCTTTTGTGCACACTGCAAAACCTAAAAATTTGTTTAACTTGCTTTATTGTGGTATTTGTTTTATTGCAGTAGTCTGGAAGTGGACTTGCAATATCTCCAAGGCATACCTGTATTTTCTTACCTAAATTAATGGACTAAAGAGAGTTCACACAAGGGTATAGGTAGTGGGTTGCAAGCAAGTAAAGGTTGCATGAGCTACTTATACAAGTAACTCAATTGTGTCCTCATGACCTTTTGAAGGCCCAGCTTGTACATATCACTTCTACATGAGGATGGAATGCTGATATCCATGCATAAACTTAGGACTTGGTGGTTCAGGCACCACTAATATCATAAAGGGAAGTTTATATCATATGGCTACTTGATGCCAGGACCCTTCTCTTAAGAAGCCTATTGTTCTTTGCAGAAGAGTTCTGTCTCCAACTCATTGGTGAGCCCCTCCACAAGGAACTCTGTAGAAAATCTTACGAGGAAACGTAATTCTGGAAATGTGCTTGCAGAATTCATGGCTATGACAGGAAGTTAGCTGCAAACTTCCTGTATGTTCATTATCACCACACCCCTCAGAATGTGCCAATTGGAAATTGGTCCCAGAGTCCACTTGGGTGTGCTTAGAAATATCTTTAGCAAGTGTGAAATGACAACCATAAACCTTCACTAAGCCATTAAGTGAAAAGAAAATTTTGGCAATTTTATTACATATATAGAAATTTTTATAAATTAATGAAAATTTTTTCTTTATAAAAAAGTAAAAGACTTGATGTAGCATCTCTCTCTCTCTCAGTATGCAAGTACTTTGCTGCTCAAAATCTGTCCACAAATACAGCAGCATCAAGGGACTCACTAGGAAATTGTTAGAAATGTAAAATAGCAGCCCCACAGTGCACCTCCTGAATGAGATCTTCACTCAACAAGACACCAGGTCATCTGTGTAAGATTTAAGAAGCTCTGTTTTTGGAGATATTTGCTTCAGCTGAAGAATCTATGTTTTGTTTTTGTTTGTTTATTTTTCTCAAAGGGAAAATATTTCTATTTTTAAGTCACATGGTAAAAACTCACCCAAATTTAATTTCCAATTAATATAAAATAAAAATTAAAAACTTTTTTTTAACATGGCAATGACTAAGTAATTTTTTCAGAATGTCATCTTAAAATAAAAGTTTTTTTAGAAACTTGATGCTAAAGGGGCAGGGAGGTGGCATCTTCTGACCTCCTCTAACCCCACAAGAGGAAGACAGAATCACCATCAGCAGCCCAAGGTCTGTTCCTATGAGCCAGACATGCCACCACCTTCCAGCCCTCTTACCAACCTTGACACCAACCCAACTGTCCCTCCATGGCACTCACCACTTCTTTGATGGGTTAGATAATTCATTGCAGTGCCACACAGAACTCACCAGTTATGGAGCTTATTAGGGAAGCAGTAGGCTACAATCCAACTTCAGGAACATGCTCAGGATATAGTTCTTCTGTCAGGACACTCTCCCTTCTGCTGTGCCCTTAGACACCCCTCTCTGGCCCTTGGCCTCTGTCTGCCTTCTGCCTCTGTGGGCCAGATAAGCCTGCCACTCTATCTTGTGGTTCTTGGTTCTACTGCTGCTGAATCTCAGCTGGGCATCTCTCTCAGCTGGCAACTAGAGATTCTTTTCTGCCTCTGGGAGTGCTCATTTTAAGCCTGGCAGAGTGGCAAAACTATCAATCCCAACATCAGAATTCCACACATCTGAGAGAGAGAGAGAACTTCCCAGATGATTACTTTGTGCTGCTCCATCCAACTGAAATGCCCCTTGTGGACAACTTTAACAATCAGGAGTTTAAATTGTATGGTCCCACCCAATAATCCAGTGGGAGTTACAAAGACTATGGCTAGAAAAGCCATACCATGTAATTTACTGTACCACACCTGAGAAATTTTCAAGGCAAAAGGATAGATCCAAAGTATATGGATCTGTGTTGAAGGTGTTCAGTAGTAAATTTCCTTCTATAAGTAGGTGTTAGAGTTTTGTTCACTTTTGCCAACTTATTACTAGAATTTTGAGCTCTGTGTAGTTACTGCCTCCTCAGCCTAACCCCCAAAACACACACAATCCATAGCTGGAGAGAAGCCGTGCTGGCTTTGAGGAGAACCAGCCAACTGAGCCCTGCCTGGATCAGGCATATCACTGGTGACATGAACACCTGTGAATATGAAAAGAAATGCTTACTGTTTAAAGCCACTTACTACCTGAGACATTTCTTACAAACCATTCCTGTGCAAAAGCTGTAAATATACATTCCCACATATCGACAGATTTTTATTAAACAGAAGACAGAAATATACATAACTATTCTTTTTTTAAATTAAAGCTGAAGACAGAAATATACATAACTAAGTATTTATTCTTAAAAAGGTATAAAACTGAAGAAGAAATATAAAAGAAAATAATATTTGGAAAGGAAAAATTTACTTCATTTATAGAAAAATATAATAAGAACAATTAGCACTAAAGTCATCCATATATAATACTCAACAAATAATCATAATAAAGCTTACATGCATGATAAAGACTTGTTGAAAATAACAAAGTTCAAATTTTGTAATGACGTGTATGTATCTGTATATATTTGTTAGATATATTTTTGTTACAAATAATTATATAAATAAAATGATATATTAATGTCTGTGTGTTGCATTGGACAAATCTACTGCAATAAGAACTCTCCAAACTGTTTAAGAGCAATGATGTCACTTTGAAGACTAAATCAAACCAAACCAAATCCACTATCATCGAATTGATCCCAACTCATTGCGACCCCCAATGAGTTTCTGAGGCAGCAAATCTTTATGGAAGTAGATTGCTCAGTCTTACTTCCACAGAGTGGCTGGTAGGTTTGAACCACCAACCTTCTGGTTAACAGTCAGATGTCTTAGTCACTGTGCTACTAAGGTGTGCCTAATACAAGTCATGGTATTTTCAATAGCCTCATATGAATGTGAAAGCTGGACAATGATTAAATAAGACTATAAAAGCTTTAATGCATTTGAATTATGGTGGTGGTGAAGAACGTTGAATGTACCATGGGCTTCTAGAAGAAAGAACAAATCTGTCTTGGAGGAAGTATAACTGGAATGCTCCATAGAAGCTGAAATAGTCAGACTTTGTCTCTCATACTTTGGTCATGTTTTCAAAAGAGACCAGTCCTTGGAGAAAGATATCATGTTTGGTAAAGAGAGAGTCAGTTAAAAAGGGGAAGATTCTCAAGGAGTTAGATTGACATAGTGGCTGCAATGGTGGGCTCATGCAAGGCAATGATTGTGAGGATGGTGCAGAACATGGCTGTGTTTCAGGTGTATAGGGTCATCTTGAGTCAAAACAACTCACTGGCACCAGGCAGCAACTACAACACATTAATGTATTAATATATATATATATATATATATATGACTCATGCGATGGCATATTGCCTAAGGCATTTGACTACTAACCAGAAGGCTGGTGGTTCAAACCATCAACCACTCCTCAGAGGAAGACTGGGCAATCTACTTCCACAGAGATACTGCGTTGGAAACCCAAGGAGGGATCTCTATGAGTCGGGACTGACTCAACGTCAGTGAGTTTTGTTTTTTTTGGTATATGACCCATGAATGGATAAAGTTCTCCATCCCACAAAATAAAACCTAGAAAATATGTTATTAATATGACATATTACAAAGGACCTATAACAAGAGCTTGAAGGAATTATATTGGAGCAAATCCCAAAGTGATGGTGGTAACTTTTCCTCATTGTGAGTCAGTGAAGAAGTATTAGAGAAAAGGGGAAAAGATTTAAAAAGTTGAATATAGATCATGTAAGAAAAAAGGGTGGTTATGTGTCAATTTAACCTTCAGTGAGTGGCTGGAGGAAATACATTGTCAGGCTAGCATGGGCAAGATTGAAGGTCCCAAGACTTTAACATAGATTAAGGAAAGTTAATTAGGCTGCTACCTCTTGTGGGTCATTTAGTGAACAGACAGCCTGAGAACATGACATAGCTATGTTATATTAAAAAACATACTTCTTTTTAATTTGAGGTTACTTCCATTTTTCGGGCTGCTTTTCATAATGATGATAATGCTGTAATGACACTAAGGAAAATTAATAACTGCTTATTCTTCTAAATGCTTTATGTTATATTTAATAGCCAACACCGTAAGGAAGATGTTATTGTTCTGACACATTTTGAAATAGTCAGAGGGGTCAGAGAGGTCAAATGACTTTATCAATGTCACACAAGCAGTAAGTGATGGAACAGTATCTATAATGCAGATGATTCACTTCGGGGTCTATGATGTTAATGACTAGACTGTGACTGTGGATGAACATCTAATGAAGACAGAGATTCACTTGGGATTTGTAGTAAGATTAATAAAGTTACTTCCTTGAAAAATAGAGAAAAAATGGGAAAGCAAAAGAGTTTTACTGCTTTATGGAAAACAGCAGATTTAGAAGAAATGAGTGTAAAAGCCAGCGAATGTAACCAAAAGAGCTGTTTCAAAGGTACAAGGGAAGGTCATTGAACCAAGACCTTATCATGGCTTCTGCATGGTGCTGAGGAACACAGAGAATGTTTGGACTGAATTCCCATTTAAAAGACAAAGAGTGTGAACAGATGTTCCCCAGATTGTTATGGAGAGAAGGGCCTGACTCTGGTGAGATGGATGCAGAAAGCAATGGTGCACGTAAAGGAAGATAACCCAAGGACCATTTCGAGCCTGGACTCACAGTACAGCCATCTTACTTCAGAGAAATGGTGTCACGTGTAATCAGGGGTCAGTGTCTGAGTACAGCCCATTTGTAGAGCTGTGGTTGTACCAGTCCCCACATTGCGGCTTCTAATAACATGTTACTTCTTACTAATATCTTCAGGGATCTCAGGAAAGATTGCTAAGCAGCAAGGGAATGGCACATCTGGATGATAAATTTCTCATTAACATCTCATTCCAAGCAGATCCAAACATGACCCAAGTGGAGCATCTAAGTGTTTTGGGAATAGAAAAAGAGAGACAGAATCACAGGCAATCATTCCTTTCTAAGAAGGTTGTAACAAGTATCATTTGGTAGCTGATAATGAGGCAGGAATATACATGAATTACATTCAATGACCGCAGGAGACAAATTCTGCCTTAAGTCAGAGTCCCAAGTCCTTTCTAACTTGACCTCCTGGGAATATATATTCTCTTCAATAGGCTTGTGTCAAACAGCATTTGGCTAAGTACTGGTGAATAGCAAGGTAAGAAGATATATGGTTAAAATCCATGACAACAAAAGAATTTCTCTTCCTTGAGGTTGATCTCAAGGCCATATCTGATTTGTCCAAGGAGACAAATCAACTCTACTGTTAGAAGCCCAGCTTGCATGCTTACCTGCTTTGCATGTTTGTCCCTGCCCACTCAGTCATCCAGAGCCTGTCTAAGTGTTGGATCTACATTCAGGGGAATATTGGCCTTACTTAGGATAGAAATTGACCCATAGAAACCCAAGTACACCTTCTTTGCCTGATTTTATTCTGGCTACTAAGAGAGCAGAACAGGGGGTGGCACTGTCAGTGAAAACTCTTAATATCCGTAGCTCCTGGGACTTGGCACCTTTGCTCAGCAATCAAAATGGATAATGCTTAATGTAGACCAATGATCTTGGATCTGCAAAGTAGACAATGTGGTATTTCCTACATTGCATAGATGACTGTATTTTATTTCCAACCTCAGATACCATAGGAGAAGTTGTGATGACTCACTCTCTAGCTTCCCTATCTTTGTCTTTTGGCAAAAGCATCGCCCTAACCAGTAGTTCCAGTCAGAGTGTTAGCCATTACCTTGCCTAATATAACCAAAAATCTTGGCAGGTCAAACCTCCTCATCTATGGTGCATCCAGTAGGGTCACAGCATCCCATCCTGGGTGAACGGTGGTAGGTCTGCAACAGACTGTTCTCACCATCAGCAGCCTGGAGGCTGAGGATATTTGAATTTATTACTGTCAGTAGTCTTATGGTAGATCATGCACAGTTTTATAATATAGAACTTAAACCACCCGAGGAAGCATATGTGTAATGCTGGGACATCCAAACTTCTCCTCCTTGTGCCTCCATCTGTTGAGAGTGTTTCTCAGATGTGTGGGTCAATATGAAAGGACACAAAAAAATGGTAATTACATTCTCAGAAAGAGAGCAGAAGAGAATGAGAAGGAAGATTTTGAAGAAGATACTAGACATAGCTTTCTATTCTTACCTTGGGCCACACCCAGGGCATGACTAGTTGCACTGCTTGAAGTTTTGTCCCATGGGAAAATTGTTTACACACTCACTGTCTTTTAGTCCCTTCCCTAAGAGAAGGGGTGTAATGTTGCATCCTAGACCACGCCCAGGGTTTTTCATTTTCCATCATCAGCTGGTCACACAAACCTCCCATACAGCCTAGGATTTGAGTTGGAACAGGGCCTGGTGCAACCTTGGTGGGGTATTTGGGGATGGAGATGCCAGAATTTGCAACTCATTTATGCCCTCTTGACCTCCATTATAGATGTATGATTTTCATCTCAGAATGGACTGCTGATGCTGGAATCACCTAATTTTATGACTTGGTACATCCCTAAGAACTCAGTTCATCATGGATAATTTCAGACACATGGTCACATGGTGTCCCTTGGTGAAGTATTCTATCACTACCAGGGCCAAGGAGGATACCAGAAACATTTTTTCAAAAGATCTATAATTCTCTCTTTCAGATGTCATGTCTTTACTCCAGGTCTCAGGGGTCTGAACTCTGATTCTTTCACTGGAGCTGCCATCAACTCCACACTGCATAGTATTCCTCCACTGACCACTCCAACACCATGGAGTCTGCTGGACTAAATGGACCACATAGCAGGGCTGGTTGCACACAATCTCAGCCTGCTGCAGAGCCCTTTCTTGTTCTAGGTCACACTCACACCTGCCAGTCTTCTTTGTCACCTGCCATATAGGCCTGAACAGTGTTTCTTACTGTGAAATATTTCACCTCTATACACCAAAGATGCTCACTGGACATCGTGTTTTCCTTGTTGTAGTGATATGTGATGCAACAATTTATTTCTTAATTTGGAGAGGATATCCCAGCCCACAACTGACTTCTTGATTCCTTGAAATTTTACCAATTCTTAGCCCCATAAATCTTCATGAGACCAATTTTCAACATCTACAATGTCTTCCAAGGCTTCAATATGCTCATGACCTTTTGTTTATCCTGCATAATCAGAATGATGTCATTTAGGTATTGGATTATTCTTATGTTCAGCAAGATGTCTGGACATTTAGAGTTAAGAAAGACCTAGGGTAAAACTATGTATTGATATTGTGGTCGATTCCACAGGTACATGACCTATTTTTGATCCTCTTTCCTTATTTGAGGAGTGCTTGTTGTGCAGTGGTGAAAGCAATTGGCTGTTAACTGAAAGGTCAGTAGTTCAAACCCACCACTGCCCCTGCAATGTACACTTCCTACAGAGTCTATGTGAGTTAAAATTAACTTGAAGGTAGTGGGTGGGTGGGCTCCTTATTGGGAAAGAAACAATGTATTCTTCAAATCAGTGCTTGAATTTCATATACATGAAGCCATATCCCTCTGCTCAACAGAAGATATCACATCGGGCACAGCAGCTGCAATCAGGGCCACTACATGTTCGATCTAACTGGACAATATATTTATTTTCAAGTATATATGTGGTTTCTTCAAGGACAAAATTGGTGAATTAAATGAAAACATGAGTAGGGCCATCTCTCCTTGAGATAGTTAAAGGTGTCACTAAATTCCTTCAGGCATCCCTGGCTGGTGGAGACAATTCACTTGCTTAGTTGGTAACTGAAAGAATGAAGGTTTGAGTCCAATCATAAACCCCCCAGAAGAAAGGTCTGGAATTTTGTTTTTAAGAAAAGGGTTGAAAGCCCTACAAAGCACAGTTCTACTGTGACACACACGTGACACTATGAGTTGGAATTGACACGAGGTGACATTTTATTTATTTTTTAAATCCACTAGTAAGCCACCAGATTCAGTCTCAGGTGGTGATACTGTCTTACATTTACTTTCTTTCCCTGGTGAAAAAGCAATTTCACTTTGCTTTCACTTGGCCTTTTCCACTATAGTATTTCTTACTATACATCTCAAGGACCAATCAAGAGTGTTTACTTCCTCCAACCAAGTATGTCAATCTCAGTTATAAAAAGAAAATAACCTCACTGCCGTCCAGTCGGATCTGACTCACAGCGACCCCTCCTTGGGTTTCTAAGGCAGTATCACTATGGAAGTTGATTGCCCAATCTTCCTTCCAAGGAGTGGCTGGTGGGTTTGAACCACCAGCCTTGTGGTCAGCGCTCAAATGCCCTAGGCACTATGCTACCAGAACTCCCAATAATAAATATAGCAACCAAGAAAATGAACTCCATTGGGGTCTGCAGATTCAGAGTAAGCTGGAGTTGGCTAAGACATAATGAATTACTTGGCCCCTATGTGCTCAGTTGGCCAAGATTTAATGAATTTAGCTTCCATGTGCTCCTTGTCTTCCACGTTCCATGATGACTTTTTTTTTTTCCTTAAATTTCTATGATCATCAATGCCAACTTATATCTTGTATGCAACAGTACTCAAAATGTCAGAGTATTCACTTTCCCTAATGTACAGTCATAAGGCCAAATGTTTACTTTGGGAAGGACTGGAAGAATCATTACAGAATATATTTGTCATTATATTGCAAGGCTTTTCATGTAAAGGATCTAGACACCCATTTAACAATAGGCTTGGGTCTGAAAACTGACTAGTAAAAAAATTGTGACTTTTGTTTGAGACAACCATGCTCGGTTTCTTGCTCCTCCTTTTCTGCTTTCTTCCAATTATAGGTGTAAAACAGCAACTTTTAGGGCTTCCCATGTATTTTGACCATTATGATACAATGTTATACCAAACCTCACCATAATTAATGGTAATAATTCCAGGTTAAGTCCCTATAAATACACTTCATCCTAGTTGATCCTTGCAATAATTGTAATCTTTACTCCTCTCTTATAAGAACACTTCTGATTGCATTTAATTCCCACCTGGACCCCCAGGATGATCTCCCCACCACAGGACCTTGATTTAATCATACCTGCAAAGACACTGTTACCATATAAGATGACATTTATAAGTTTCAGGGATTAAGACCTGGTATCTTTGGGGCCATCGTTCAGCCAAGTAGACCATTACAGTACCAATTCTATGTATACACATAGCACATTCTCTCTCACTCTTGTTCTCTCTCTCATATTCATACAAATCACTTTACTTCTTTATGTGTATTTAGTACTCAATGGAGACAAGCTCAGAGAAGCAGCCATAGGGGCCCTTGTTCTTGGATTTCTTAAAGACCTGCTCTAACCCCATGAGTATACAGAAAGAAGGACACAGCCCTTAAGCATCTGGGTGAAGTTATCTAGAGAACAGTCATGGCTCTTTTTCTTTGGAAGCCTGATTGCCTTTAGGGCCTGGGGTCCTTGGCCCTGAGGGAGGGCACATGTGACTCCTGCTTCAAATGTGACCTACTTTTGCCTCTCATTTTAACCCTTTCTGCTCACTGAGAACAGCATGGTAGGTGTCAGCTGAATGAGATAACTAAATTTCCCAAAGAGTAGGATTGCAATTTATTTTATTGTATTGTATTATTAGCTCATGAAACATTTTGTTTGCAATGCCTAGGGTAAAAATGATTTATCTCGGCATATCTTGTCTCAGAAGAAAGTTAAAAAAAAAAAAACCTGTAAAATTTAAGAATTTTTAGTAACATCCTGTTGTCTTTATTATTTTGAACACAAAACTCAAGCTCTTGCTTACATGACCCTGACTTATCCTAAGCTACAGCTGAGGGTGTTAGTCAAGAAGATTTATTCTTCCATCTACTCCATGCATCTGGTCCTTTAGGGCAGGCAGAGACACTGTCATCTAATGGCTTCAGGGGATGAAACTGACCATTGGACCCAGGAAGGCTTCATGTGACCCAACTTCTCCAGCAGCCAGTCCAAGAACCCAGGGTTCCTGATAGGACACCACCCTACTTTACATTAGCACCTCAGGTCACATCACCATATGGGCATGACCATGGGGGCTGGAAGATCCTTCCTTTCCAATTACCTCCTTCACTCCTTCCGGTCCACCTAGGTGATACTTCTGAGATGCTGATGGAGAAAATCCCTGATTTTTGCTGGCCTAGATGGAAGTGGTAGGTCCAAGAATTAAGAAATAGAGGAAGATAGATTTAATTCAAGATGACAGGTTAGCAATGGCACATAATCAGTGTCTGATCATTTTGTCACTGGTCTAGATGTCTAGTTTTCCATTACTCTTGTATTCCATTGCATCTCTCTGACTGGTAGGGGCTTATACTCGTCCACATCCAAGACATCGGAAAATCAGACTATGTAGGAAGCTTCTCTAGGTTTGTTGTTGTTGTTGTTATGTGCCGTCGAGTCAAACCCGACTCATAGCGACCCCTCCTTGGGTTTCCGAGGTAGTATCACTACGGAAGTAGGATTGCCCAACCTTCCTTCCGAGGAGTGGCTGGTGGGGTTGAACCACCAGCTGTCTGGTTAGCAGGCAAGTGTCTTAGCCACTATGCTACCAGAGCTCCCTCTCTAGGTTTAGTAATATATAAATGTCCTAAATATAAGGTACTGATAAATGTATTGTATTCTACAGGGAAAAAGTAACCAGAGGGTGGAAGTGGGAAGAGATTTGTTAAATTATAGGGATTGCAGTCAATGTCATGAAACAAAATGTGTATGGAATGTTGTATGGGAAATGAATTTGCTCCATAAACTTTCACCCAAATTACAATGAAAAGGTGTATTGCATTCTTGTGTTATATCATATCTCACAGACTCCATCTTAGATGAAGACAAGTAAAGAAAAGAATGCAATGGGCCTTGAAGAAAGCAAATGAACCCTCTACTCAATAGACAAGAACATGATTCTGTCCTGT